CCGCACAACGATGGTTTCAACGTTTTCGTTCTCGGAAGGCCTGTTGGCGAAAATTGCGATAAAATCGCTGAATTGGTCGAAAGAGGCCGGCATAGTAGCAGTCGTAGCATCGGTCAAGAGCTGGGCATGAGTCATCCAAAAAAATTTTTTTAACAATTGAAAATTCAATAAAAATACCGCAAGACTAATATATGTATGTAAAGTTAGGTGTATTATAAGAAATTATAATAAATACATGTTTTAAGTTTGTATAATATAGGAAACATTGTATTATAGATCATTATATACTATGGATATATTTTAGAGCGATATTTTAATAGCTCACATTAATAAGTGCAGTAAATGTACAAATGGGTCATTATAGTAAAATAATTACTTAAAATGCTGTAATAAGATTACTTATTTACGAGTCTAAATGTTAAGTAGTTTAAAATAAAACAAATGTCCTAATCATTTAACGCTGAAGATAGTAAAAAGTTCGCCGCTAATTGCTCGTTTTTTTCACAAGCAAAATATGCTTGCAATGCCAGGGATTCTGAAAAACCAAGTGATTTAAGCTACAAAGAAAGAAATATTAGTAAGTTATTTAAAGTATTTAGGAAAAAGCTTAAAATTTACGCGATTAATTGCTTCCTCGTCTTGTGATGTGAGTCGAAATTTCATATTTCTATGCCCTTGTGGACGGCTTGTGGCAGATAAATTATCGTTATCTATTGTGCTTGTAGCACCTCCATCTTCATAAATTTCGTTATGAATTGTATCAGAAGTATCTGCAGTTAAAGTCGCCACTGTAACTGCAGCTGCAGCTCTTTCACGTAAGAACGCATCAGCAGCGGCTGCTCGACGTTCTGCTGCTCGATCTGGTTGTACAGACGAAAAGACATGTGGTACTGTATCGGCCCCTGCATCACCACTTTCTCCGGGACGCTGGTGTGTAAGAAGTCCGTCACCGCCTGCACCAGGGTCTATATCAGTAGAACGTACATGCAATCCATCTCCTCCAGCTGCAGCGCGAACTGCAGCAGCAAGCTGCGCACGTCGCCCCGCTGTCATCCGACGAGGATGTTGCCGGTTTATATCAGCACGTCCCTCCAAAGTTTGACTTAACATTCTTAGGAAAGCACCTTGGTTTTCCGATATAAGTTGTAGAAGCGCTGGATTAGTTTGCCCAATCTGAGTGTATGCCTTTAAAATGTAATGTCATAATTTTAATGTTAAATATTTATAATTACTTGCTGGAGTACTCCATGTAAAGCGTCCGGATTGTGATACATCAACGAACGCATTAGTAAGAACTGCGGTTGATTGCGAAATATTTCAAATGGATCTATAAACATTGAAAAAGAAGTAGTAGTGAAGTATTTTTTGGCTTTGGTACAGTCACATTCACCTGTGACATATCGCAATGCCGTACGATTGTTTTCTAGAGGCCGTTGATCGTCGTCATACTCTTCAACTCTGTAACTAAAATTTAAGCCAATTTCAGCAATGGAATTTGACAAACGATCTCTCTCTTCGTCATAGACCCTATTACTATTACTGTCCACAATATTGGTGCTATTATTTTCTTCATTAGTTGTATTGCTATTAAATATCTCTGAAGTCTCTGACAATCCACTTATTAAAAATTCTATTGCTCTCTCCGTATTATTGAAACAAGCAGTCATAGCGTGTTCAACGGTTTCACGACTAAAACCCATTTCTATCATTGACTCAATAGTACGATTATATTCTTCACTCACTGCCAAATTTGATTCGGATCTTGATTTCACTGAAGTATTAGAGAACACACCTGCGAGGTCACCACTTGAAAATGTGCTGTGGCTATTTTCAGAACCTTCAGATCTAGTACTTCTACTAGAAAGAGGAAATACGCCGGATCCACTTGAGGATATACTAGTATTACTTCCGACAGAAGCCAAAACACTCCCTAATCCATTATTTTGAGTATCTCCACTGACAAGGTTGTAAGACTGAACTTCTTTTTCATCAAGTTCATTAGAATTTTCTTTCATCGGTTCCTCGTCATCTTGGGATTGAGTTTTATAATCCTTCAAGTCACCGACGTCACCTATTTTTAATTAAAGGATAAAGGTGAACAAAAACAATTTAAAAGTTTTATAATAAATGTGTTACCATCTTGATTGAGACCAACGAGATTACATAATGTTGCGTGTT